GGCGCCGAGGTTGCTTTGTTTCTTCTCGATAGGTGAGTAGCTGTTGTGGCACAGACACGGTGTTAAAGTTTGTCTAGTACACTGGATGCGACAAAGTGACTGTTGAAAATCATTTGAACTTTGTGTCAGCACGTCATAAATAGAACGAGGCATCAGTTTACTGGATCCAGTGACAACATCACTGATTATAATGGGTTCTATTCTACACCGGATGTGAGCGACGCGCGATGTGACCGATGTGATAAGCATGAGTTCTGGGCCGCGGCGTGGCCGGAATAAACACCAGCATTGACTGAGTGGCCGCGATCAGCTCCGGTGGCCGTAACACAGGCTTTAATGCACCGCAGACGCGTGCCGGGATGTGCAGATCAGCTCTAGTCTCTAACGTCACTGAATCTGCTGTTTTAAGCTTTAAAGCGTTTCATCCAGGTCGCCAGTAGCAAACAATGGAGCGCGCTCTTCTGGACAAACTAAGTTATTACACCATTCAGAAGCATTTAATCTGCATTATATGTTCTGTAAAAAAAAATTCATATCGGCGGCATATTCGCTGATATATCATCAGCCGATCATTTCAGCTAAACTATATATCGGTCGGGCTCTAGTAAATATCATCATGTCCTCCTGTTTTTTTTTACCATGATAAAAGTTATAGGGCTTTGTAAAAATCGAGGCGTTTCAGAAAGGCGGGGCATAGAGGAGAAACAATAATGTACAGTATGTGGAAAATAATGTGTTTTTTGAACCTTAAACCGCATAAACACATTTCATTACACCAAATACACAAAATAATGTTCTTTTTAGCAGCATCATATGACCCCTTTAAAAATTAAAATGCTTGAACTCTTTCATTTGATCCGGGTGTCTGTCTTTAAAGTGTTTTGTTAGTTTGATGTTTTTCCTCGTTTTGATGTCGCCACGTCTCCGTGCTTTTATGAAGAGAGCGCACCTGCGCACCTTTCGGATAGCGCATCAAGAACCGGGTTGAGGTACCGCCGGTACTTAAAAAAACCTGGTACCGTAACGTTTTCATTTTTTTAGTACCGACTTTGTACCGAAGTACCGGGTCTTTTGACAACAATAGTCATCACCATCATTAACAGAATCAGTCATTTGCATTGATTCGAAACTCTACTGCAGTGTTGCTTCAAATAAGTGTTTATTTGAGCTCCTTTGCTGTCATTCGTGTTAATATCAGTATTTAATCATCAGCCAGTCGTCGACCCTCATTGAATCTCCTGTAGTTTGGGTGTTCAGGGCTGCTTTGTTTGGTTTCCGGGTTTTAGTGTCGCAGTATTTTGACGGATGGAGTTTGAGGTTGGATATTCTTGGAGAGAAACAGCTGGTTCTTTTCACTTGTGCTTGAAGTAAAGAAACTCCGACTGATGTTTACTAGCGGCTTTAGGCTTTAGCAGCGAGTTAGCGAGCGCAGACGGCGCTTCCATCAGCGTGTTTAGATGTTCTGCTGGAGCAGAAGCTCTCAGACGGCCCGGAGCAGGTGGTTTGGCTCAGGGGTCGCGCCTGCCTGTGACCTTTGACCCCTCACACACACGCGGAGTATAAACGCGGTGTCAGGAGCCGGAGGTGTCGCTGACGCGGAGCCGCTGCGTTCGGGGTTTGTGTTTGTCCAGCAGTATGAACGAGTTTTGTGATGTTTACTCTCGGATGGGAAACTAGAAATAGCCAACAGATGACACACAGGAAGTTTGAGGACGTTTGTTATTCTTGGCCTAAACTAGTGTTTCCCAGACTAGGGTTTGAGGAGGTTATTATAGCATGACAGCGCTGAATTAACTTGAACAATGGTGATAACTGCTGAGATTCTGATAAATGTCACTCAAATTAGGCATGTTTTTCATGTAACAAATTTAATTTTATTTCATCTTTATTTTAATTAATGAAAAAAAAATGTGAATAGTTTTAGTAATTTTAGTATTTCCACTTAAATTTGAACAAAAGTAAAAATGTTTAAGTTGAAGTATTAACTAAAACTACTCAGGTTTTTTCATTAATTGAAATAAAGATGAAAAATCTTAGAAAAAAAAAAACCCTTGAACAAAAATCTAAATGTTTTATGCAATATTCTTATTTTTATCTAATGTTTGTTTGTTCATCTTTATTTATTACTTAATGAGTTTTAGTACTTAAACATATTTTATTTCAGATATTTGACATGGCAACATAATTCCATAATTAATTTCATTGAAGTTTTTAAACAAAAATTCTATTTAATTTTTTAAAAATCTTTATTTCAGTTGACGATAAAGTGTGAATGTTTTTTGTAATTGTACTTAAACATATTTTATGCCGTGGCCAAATTTCTATTTTTGAAAGGACATATATTTGAGCAAATTTTACATTAAAATTGTATTGTAATTTTATGAAGTGGTATTTTACGTCAAAAACCCCCCAAGAGTTTGCTCATCATAATAATGATAACAGTGGATATTAATTGGTAACAATAACAGTGGATAATATACAATATGTTTTAGGAAATTCAGTAAATAAATGTCTGTTTAATTTAAGAGTTGTTGTCTGTCTCATTTGTGACCGTTAAAAGCTTTTAAAATTGCTGTTCTTTATATTCATAAATATTGTTTAATTATTTTTTTATAAGTTTTTTTATTTATTGACCATTTATTTTAATTTGCCATGAAAAAAGCCTTTGCTGATATGGTTTCATATCAAATTTGAGAAAAAGTGATTGTTTAATTGTAGTTGTTAATGTTTTTGAAAGAAGTCTCTTCTGCTCATCAAGGCTGCATTTATTTGATCAATAATACAAAACAAACGACTGTAATGCATTTTATTTTTCAGGATTCACAGATGAACACAAAGTTCAGAAGAACAGCATTTATTTGAAATGGAAGTCTTTTGTCACATTATGAATGTGTGTTTCTCCGCAGAGCGAGCAGCAGTTGGACTGTGCGCTGGACCTGATGAGGCGCTTGCCTCCGCAGCAGATCGAGAAGAACCTCAGCGACCTCATCGACCTGGTGAGTGTGTGTGTGTGTGTGTGTGTGTGTGTGAGTGTGAGTGTGTGTGCGTGCGTGCGTGTGTGTGTGCGTGTGTGTGTGAGTGAGAGGGTGTGTGTGAGAGTGTGAGTGTGTGTGTGTGAGTGTGAGAGTGTGTGCGTGTGTGTGTGTGTGTTTGTGTG